TCGGTCATGAAAACATTTTTTCATTTTTTAATATGGGGCATTTGTCTTTTTATTTTTCGTTGCACAATTTGACATATTTATGTTGCGATTATAGCTACTTCTTGATGTGATGAGAATCTTTGCATATGTTTTATTCATTCGACCTTCTAGGTAAACATTGTCTAAAAGTTTTATTTATTTTTTGTCTAAAAGTCTAAAACATGCAACTTTTATTCGTTCAATAACATTTATTTTACTTAATAAGATCATATATATCTTCAATATAATAACTCAATCTAATGAAAAATAAGTCGATCGCTACCAATCACAATATGCAACCTATTGTCTCCACTTATGTAGCACCGATACCGGTACGCGGAAACGCGGAAACGCAGAAACGGGTACGAGGATACGTCAAAACCAAAAAAAGTAGGATACGGATACAGGGCCATATTTATAAATATTAAAAGTTATGGGGGTGTATCTACAAATATTAAAGTTTATAGGGGTCTATTTATAAATATTAAAAATAGTTTTTTTTTAATATATATACATATATTATTAACATGATAAAGGTGACATCCTGCTATCAGAAGAGAAGCAGAAGTATCTTGTTAAGGACAAAACTGAAATTACTTCGAGGTTGAAAGACTCATGGACAAGGAGTCAAGGACATAGGAACTACAATGAATGATTTATATCTGACTGATTATATCAGTGTAGCATCTTCGTAAAAATTGAAGTAGGGCTGGACCAGATTCCAAAACCAAGATTGACTAGGAAAGCAAGATATATATATATATATATATATATATATATATATATATATATATATATATATATATATATATATATATATATATATCCATATAATATCCTATGATGTCTACCCATTCATTGCATTGAAACATTTTCCTTTTTCAAGATACTTAGTAATAAATTCATAATATTTCTCATATACACTAGTGCATCTCGAAATATAAATGTAGTCAATAAGTCATTAATTTAAAATGAGAAATAAGTCAAACAACTACAATCTTGAAATTAAAAGTGCAAGTACCCAATTCGGAGTATGAGTTAATGACTTAATTCGGATACAGCCATATAGGCCCATTATTTGATTACCAAGTAAAATGTAGTTTTAGATTTTCATTTTTTTTAGAATTTTATTAAGTAAATTTTGGGTTTTTTTTTTAAAAGTTGATACGGGTATCTGTCAGGATACGAGTATCGGAAACTTTCAAACAATTACAAAAAAAAATGGAAACTTTTAAAAATTGCAGATACGGCCCGGGAACGTACGGTACGGGTATCCTAGAGTATCGGATACGGGAACGTATCGGATACGCCGATACGCTACCCTAGGGAAGTATCCGTGCTTCATAGGTCTCCACCATCACCATCATTAAAATCGTTATGTCACAAAACTATATATTCTAAATTCTTTTCTTAAAGAAGAGCTCAAAAGACTAATTTGAAAATTTCTAAAACCTAGAATGACTAATATATTAAAAAAAAATTAAATACACTCATTTTTAGATAAATAAAATACAAAAATATGTAGTTAGTTTTAAGAAAACAGTAAATCACGAATGAAATTCAAAAGTAAAAAACATGCATTGAGCATTTTTTTTGTTTAGGTAAAAATAGATTAATTTCAATTGGATGCAACTAAGAGTTATAAAAAATGCTCTTTTATTGGAAAATATAGACTGTAAGTGTGGATGTGGATATGGTGTGGGGGGTATGGATATGTTTGCAGGGGTTGAGGTTAATATTTAATTTTCAACTTAATATTGTTATTTTAAGTTATAAAATAAAATGGTAGAGTGTTGTAAAATCAGTGCCCTGGTCATCAACATAAAATGTTTCCATCATCACCAACACTTGAATTAAACACCTTGGCATGTTGGTAAGTTGTCCTCTAATGAACATATCCCTGTCTATAATCAAAGTGAGATCATTCTAGAAAAATAAAACAGAATCTCAATAAATGGTTTTTCATTGCAGATACAACTCCAGGAACTCTGTTCTTGAATGGTCCATAGTTCTCATTGATAATTCGAACATCAGGTAAGCTACTGAATAAAGTTTTTCGTGGTAGGGGTGTCAGGCGTTGTTTGTTTAGTTTCTAATGTCTGTGCTGTCAATGTGTGCAGTGGGTCCCTGGAATTTACTGTGCCTCCAATGGATCCATCAACCTTCTTCCCAATATCTGCCCGCTTTACTTCTTCATCGACTTATAGCCACTTGAAGGTACCCCCCCCCCCACCCTCCTGCCATTTTGTCATTTTTCTTGTCTTCTTATCGTTACATATGGTACCTGCCTTGGAACCATCTGCATGATCGGGTTTGACGTATTCCAGGCAGGGTAGACACTGGGATGGGTAAGGGTATCCCCCCAATGTAAAAAGAGTTTGTGTGTCTATATCCAAAGTAGAATTATGATTAAAATGGATTTAGTCTTAAAATTAAATTTGGTTGGTTCAAAAACAAAAAAATCCTAAGAGAATTGGATATAAGAAATTGGTTTTGCACTTCTATTGGCATGATGTGAATGAAATACGTGAAATTGTGTACACTCTATTGCAGGTGACCAACATATTGCCACTTCAAGGTGGGCCCGCCCCAAATTTTTCACAAAGAACTGTGCTGGTTACTGAGAATTACCAAGTGGTTTGAGACGGAGGGATATGGAAAATACTTTTGAATAATAGAGTTGTGTATCAACCATCAATTAGAATTTGATTGGTTTTTAGGAACATCACATATCCTACTACTCTTCAACTAGTTTGGATTTTGGATTTTGGGAACAAAGTAAACCGAATACTTTGCGTTAAATGGTTTGAATTATTTATGGGATTTCATTACATGTCCTCTAATAATTTCACTTTATTGCGTCTAATGGCTCTTTTTCCCACCATTTCCAATGGAGCCAAAGAGGCAAAGACTCACTATTTTTTGGCTTGGAAATATGATGAAATAAAGTAAAATGGATCGCTAAATTGTTTGCGTTTCTTTGTTATGAAGCAACAATCACTCCATGCAATTATCATTTTAGATCATATGGAAATAGTCTCTTTGTGCTTTAGTACAACGGTAAAGCTTTGTACATCGGACCTACCCTTACCCCACTGTAGGTGGAGCCTTTGTTGCACTGGGTAATGTTGCGTTTGGTGGCCTTTTATCTTGTGAAATTAGTTGAAATGCTGGAAATGTTAAGAATAAGAAAACAACAATGTTGTATGTTTTGTTATATATTTATTTCAAAAGTGAAAAGTGAATACATCATCAAGGGTCAAATTATCATCATATTAATACAGACTGCCCAGTGCCCCTCCCATATTAATTTGACGAAGGAAGACTCAAGATTGTTGAGCCAACAAGGGAAGACTCTGGATTGTTGGCGTGACGAAGGAAGACTCTTAAATATTAATTGTTGACATGACAAGAAAAATTATAGGATTGTAAACTTGACAAGGGACGCAACGTGTAGTCGTGTAGTGAATTAAAAAACCATACCACTTCATCAAGTTTTCCTCTGCTAACCCATTCAACGACAAACATTCGATAATGCATGTACTTCTGCATCCTACAACCCATTGTTTGGAGAAAGTTAGTTTTTTTTACTCCATAGGCGTTGGGGGTGGGGGTTTGGATGACTTGAGGTAAACTGGGATCAATCCCACTCCATTGAGAATTGAACCGGGAACCTCCCATGAGGGAGAGTGAGTCGGCGACCAGCTGAGTTGGACTGCTAAAAGAGAGTTGAATTTTTAGTCCTTCAACTATTAAGTACTCCATTTGTGATTATCTAGTCTTGTTATTAATGTTTAAAGGGAAATTTCCCTAAAGAGGGGTAAACCGGTTTTGAAATTTTAAAATAGGACTGATATGTTTTCCATCTTGAAATATGAATCGTTATTGTCATGATTGAAAAATAATACTACTAGTGACAGTAAAAACTGTCATGTTAATGCCTAGTACTGCAACTATTTGGAAGTAATGATTTCAAGATGACAATATATACTATTATGATACTCTTATTTCGGGATGAAAAATATAGCAGTCCTATTATGGTATTCCAAAACTTGTTTACTCTTATTTTGGAAAGTTTCTCATGTTTAAATCAAGCAGTCTTTGCCCCCAACTATGAGAAAGTTTCCCATGTTATGCTCTCTACTTCTTCTTGCTCAATACTCCTAGTTGCTCTTATAATTGCATTGAGATGCAAGCCCATTAGGCCTCAAAATTGTAGCTCAAAATTCACTTGGAATTAATTTCATAACGTTTTAAAAGTTACTCCCTCCGTATTTAAATGTTCCATACATTATGTTATGACACAATGAGCCCGTTTGATAGCATGAAAATCGGCCGTTTTGACTAATTATGCTGAAATTTATGAAGTTCTGGCTGAAGTGGCTGCATTGGCTTATTCTGCTGATTTAAGAAAAAATTATTTTTAAAATGTATTTTATTAATAAAATAAAGAAAAAAATAGCTAAAATGGTCATCTACAGTAACTTCAGCCAATACAGCCAGAAAAGTAACTCCAACCTTACCTTTTCTGCTTATTACACAATTCAGCGCGAAAACAAAAGTTACGTCTTTGGTGAAAAAGTTGGCTGATAAGACGAAAAACGGTGTTGCCAAACGCCTCAAATACTTAACGGTGAAAAGTAGGGGTGATGAATAGTATAGAAAAAGTAGAAGAAAAGGTGAAAAAGTAGGAAAGAAAGGATAAAAAGTAGAAAAAGTAAGGGTAATTGAATATTTTTAAAAGAAAAACTTGTCAAAAAGGGAAAGTGTATAAAACTTTCAAATACATTCCAAAAAAGAAAATGTATGAAACTTTTAAATAGGGAGGGAGTATGGACTTGGCATAATTTTTTTTTGTTATATACCTTGTTACAGTTTAATTCGTGTTCATATTTTTATTGTGCTAAATTAGGCTTACAAAAATATTGTGCTAAATTCCTTATTTGGTTTGATTGGGCGTTTAGGAATTTTCAGTCAGTAACATCGAGGCCCATGGGTACGCGATTATACCAAAGTGCGGACCGCCGGGGACTTTCGCGCCTGTTGTTGCGCCCTAAAACCCAAAACCTTAGATACCAATGCCGGATTACCAGTGTGAAGGCGCGAAGAAGATGAAGAAGCCGAAGAAGAGAAAATTATCAACTTCAGGCGAAAAAGAAGTGCATCCACGGCCTGCTAAAAACTTGCGCAGTGACACCTCGGAGCCGAAAAACATAGCTTCTGTAGAGTCTGAAGTAGATGGCAACAAAACAAGTTTCCACCTTCAAGATGACCCGCCCTGGAGAAACCTGCAGCTCATTCTCTCCCTGCAGAATAAGGATATTTCTCTTTCAATGTTAGGGACATTCCAATATATGTAGTTTACTTACCTTTTGACTGTGTGTATTTATGTGTGCATATGTGCTCCTGATAAATAAGTTCCTTAGTTGCAGGAAGGTGGAACTTGCATTTGATTATGTGGAAACGATGACAATTGAGGGAGCTGAGGAAAGAAGCCGAGATTCAGAGTCAGTTAGCTTTCCCAGAACACTTATTTTTCTCAATAATTGGGTTCAGACAGAGATGATATCTTCTTTAAAAGGAAGCACTGCTCAAGGAACATGCTTAGACGTCAGATGTTGGAAGGTTCTTAGGTTCTGCTTGGAGGAATCAAAACAGCTCAATATGGCGTTGAGCTTCTCAAGACACTTCTTACGGGTTATTCAGTGTATTTCAAGTCATTTGTGGTCGCATCTTAATGCTGAATTGAGTAAAGAGGAGTTTGAGTTTTACAATGTTGTTCTTGATTGTATATCATCAGTCTTCTCATCTCATGGGGGAATTTCCAATGAAAATTTGGACTTATGGATTTCAGTTATTAATACTGTGCTTAACCTCATCCAAAAGATTTTCACCTTCAAGCTTGAACACTCCAAGACGGGAACTTTTGTCTTGCAATTATCATGTTATGTGCATGAACCATTTGCAAAATTTCTAAGGGTACATCCAACAAAAAAGAACGGTTTTCGCGACTTTGTTGATAAGCTTTTGGAGCCTCTGATGCTTTCATGGGATTTGTTGCATCTTCATACCTGCAAAAGCAGTCCTCACTTGATATTGGATCTTTTAAAGTTAATTGAAGAAGTATTGTCTCATGGATTGTTCCACCCTATGCACATTGAAGGATTTTTTGAGCTGCAGAATACATCAAGCTATAAAACAATGGATGATAAGGGTGTGGAAGTTCAGAAGGTGGTTATTAAAAGTTATCATAGGATTTTCTTTGATGTGTTGGGGAAGACTATTTCGAGGAAAAATGCATCATCTGTAGGTGGTTTAGGAATGCTGCTTCGCTTGTTTATTAGTGGCATCAGTAAAAACAAAGGACTTTCAGTTGGCAAAGATGGTCCAAGTAACTCAATTTCTGAAAGTTCTTCTACAAGTTCTTTAGTTTCTGGAATAAATTATGCTCTTGGTCTGAATGCTGAAACTAGGAAGCTCTCTTTTGACTTTTTTGTACAGATAATGGAATATTTTTTATTAGAGTTTAATACTTACTCGCAAGCTCAACTAGAGGATGGGGCTATGCTTCTTGATGCTCATTGCAAACTCAGATCTGCCAATAAACTACTTTTTGAATTATTGCATGCAAGAGTCTATGTACGGATAGAGGACACCTCTGAGGGAGCATGTCTCAATTTCCTGAGATTGGTTTATGATAGAATCATGTTACTTTCTTCCAAAATTATTAATGTACTAGAAACATCATTTGCTTCAGATAACAATGGGGTGCTGGTTTTAATAGTCAAAGAGCTGGTTCATGCTGTGCATTACTTGTTGGATATTGATTATGAAGCCATTGAAGATAATCTTGAAAGGTTATGGGGAACAGTGATTTCATTTACAACATTTAGCTATTCTTTGGTGGATGTGCCTGATCAGGATAAGTTAACCACGGAGATACAAAATCTGGGATGTAAAGTGGTTCACCTCTATAGCGAACTGAGACAGGTTTGCGAGTTTCTTCTTTTCAGCTAGTCACTTGAATATTTCACATCTTGAGAATAGAAACATCTTAGGGCCTATTTGGTTATATAGAGTTATGTGTGTGTCTGTATTTGATTTTTTAAATCCTAATTCATTTCTTAAGTTAGAAAGCACACTGATTAACCTTTTAGTAGTTTTTGAAAATTCATGGTTTCCAGCCCCCCCCCCCCCCAAATAAAATAAAATAAATAGAAGGATCGTCCAAGCAAACAACTTGATATTCATCCCTTCACTAAACAAAGCCCCCCCCCCCCCTGTTAACATGTGACTTGGAAGGCATGAAATGCATTAAGTGTTAACAGTGCATAAGTGAAAGCTGAATTTCACCCAATATATACAACTTAGAGAGTTAGAGTGAATCAAATACGGTGGTAAGAAAGGAAGGATAATTACATAAATTCTTTATTTTTGTGTTTTGAAAAATTATTGCAGGTTGACTCGTACATTTTTTATGGGTGTGTTTTTCGCCTTTTAATGACATAGTTTTGAGATCCTCACTGTACATCTGCTATCATTGTAGGTGAATACACCCATCTTTTCACTGTGCAAAGCAGCCAGAAGCTCAGTATTACTTCCAGAAAGAAGCATTCAACCATATAAAGCTTCTTTTAATAATTCATTTAGCTTGTTCATATGCTGCCCCGAGTTCAGGCTTTCCATTAGTAGTGCCATCAAGTCCATACCAGAGGGACAAGCTAGTGGATGCATCCGGCAGTTAATAGCCGATTTTTTAGAATCATTGGAGTGGATAAAAACTACACCTGTGCTTCCTGCTGAAACTGACCAAATAAAACAAGATCTCCATAAAAATGACTTCCAATGCTATGATATGCAAAGTGAGTTGTTGGGAAGAAGTATATCTGAACTGTATGTCCTGATTCTTGACTCACTGACAGTTACCGCTGGAAATTGTTCCCTAGTCAGCATTTCCATGAAGGATTTGATGGCACGAATTAGCAATATTTTAAGGAGCCTAGTATCAGAAAAGGTGAATAGTATTGATGAGTTATTGTCTGTTTTTATGAGAACAATCCTTGATAAGGGGAGTGGATCAGGAAACAGGGTGATGTCAGCACACTGGATTTTAGTCTTCTTCTTTCGTTTGTATTTATCTTGCCGAAGCTTACAACGTCAATCTATCATTCTACTGGCGCCGGATATGTCAAAGAAGATGTCAGAAAAAATGGGGGATTCATTTACAGCATACTCTGGAAATGAGTGGCTAGAGAGGGCTGATTTGTCAGAAGAAGGCTATTTTTCTTGGATCATTAAACCTTCTTCTTCTCTTGTTTCTATTCTAGATATTGTTTCTAATATTAATCTTCAACAAGCTTCTATGGATTGCTCCCCCCTTATTTATGTAATGAATACCATGGCTGTTCAGAGACTCGTTGATTTGAATCGACAGATAAAGTCCACTGATTATTTGTTTTGGAAGATTGAAAATCTCAACCAGCACAAGATCATAAATGATACTGTCTTGTCATTCAATAGCAAAAAGTACCACAAGTGGAAGATGATAGAGTCAGATTTAAGGCATGAGGCTGCAGCTCTCACTAAATTCATAATGGGGTATCTATCATTAGTGGCTAAGAGTCAGTTATATATTCCCCCATCTGAAGGTGCATCCTCTGAGGACATTTTTTCCAAAAACACAGGTGACATTGGAAGATGGAATTTTGGTGTGGGATCTTTGAATGAGAAGACATTGGCATCTGCCTTGTGGTGGTTCCTTTGCCAAAATATTGATGTATGGTGTACCCATGCTAGCAAAAAGGACTTGAAAAAGTTCATCTCAGTTTTAGTCCATAGCTCTGTTCCTTATTTCAGCAAGGAGTTGAATGAAAACAAAATGCGCATAAAACTGACAGCTACAAGGAAAGTCAACATAAGTCTGACCTCATTGGAAGTGTTAAGCAATAGTGTTCTGTACGAACAAAGAGTAAGATGCGGGCCTGGTTTTGAAGTCATAAGTTTATCCTTTCGTTCATTTCATTCTGATGAAAATTTTCATGCAATCATGTGTATTAAAGATTAGCCACATCTTGGTTATTAGGAAAAAAACATGGTTAAAAGAGACTAAAGGCACTCATTTATCTTGATTTATTTTTAAATTTCCATTCTAGAACTCTATTGTGTAACTGATATTTTGCTAGGATCCATAACTGAAACTGTTCTAACTTTTTGTTACAATAGTTTGTTCACAGGAATATGACTTCAGTGCTGTGTAGGACATTAGAGAAGTCTGTTGCATCATTGTATTCTAGTTCGGATGATGCTAATTTAAACTCCCCACCTGATTGGAGAAAGATTCTGGATGCACTTGAAATATCATCTACTGCTTCAAGGGACAGGAATGGAAAGAGCTTGCGTTCATTGTGGATAAAGGCATTATCACATGTACTGATCCTGCCAGCTGAACATTCAAAAAAGAAATTATCCTATTTTAATGAAGTAGAGTTCAGTAATTGTCAGGGTGTGCTCAATCTTCTGAGCTGGATGCCAAAAGGATATTTGAGTTCAAAATCTTTTTCCCGCTACAGAACCTGTATTCTCAACCTTGAATGGTATTTCAACCTTTTTGATTTTCTCATATATTCTAAGTTTGCCTTCTACTAGTGAGCATAGTTTTCATGGTGTCGCAACGTCATTGCCTTGGCGTCACGCTAGTCATTGTGGTCTCTCTACTTGCTGTATGTCTTCTATATTGGCACATCGATGCCACAGCGTCTGAATGATGCCACACGACGCCGCGGATCCTAACTCAAACCATAGTCTGAACAAGCCCAAACCCAATAATCAAATAACCCATCAAAATTTAAAAATAAGGCAGTTGACCTATCTGAAGAAAAGAGGGCATCTCCCGAGTCCAGACTCGTCTCGGTCATCACCACCGCCTCGCTCGTCACCATCCGCCATCATCTCGTTTGCCGCCATCCGCCACCATCTCTCTCGTCGCTATCCACTATTGTCTCCTTCGTTGCCATCTGCCATCGTCTCGGCTGTCGCCATCCACCATCGTCTTGGCTGTCACCATGACGCCATCTGACATTGTCCCATTTGTCGCCATCTGCTATTGTCCCGCTCGTCGCCATCCAGAGCATCGCCGTCCTCTCATGTGATTTCCCATTTCCCATCTTAAGTCTTTGTTTTTTCGTCAGCCTGAAGGGCATGTTGTAATTTTATGCTATTAATGCTTTAAATATTGCAGCATGTGTAAACAAAAAATTGATTATTTGAGTAACATAATATTATGATTCATTTGATAGGTACACGCAAATCTGGCGATGAATGGTTGAATATGAAAACTGAAATTGAAGAAACTGAAAAGTAACGATACAGATGAGGCAAGTTCGAGAGTGCCTCGTCTTTCCCAACTCCCAGTCCAATCCAAGTTCTGCCTCACTCCCTTATTCCCTTCTTCCCATTCTTATAGTAATTGTATTCTAACGGGCCAGCCCATAACTAAATAATACCAGGCCTAGACCCCCTTTAACATAATACTCCGTAACAAACTATGTAACATTATTTTATTATTATTACTCCCTCCGTCCCCCAATTAAGTTCCTGGTTTGGCACTGTTTTGATGTAGATAATTTGCCAAATAAGGAAAGTATTGAAGTGTGAACTTACTTTAGGGACTGCCCAAAAAGGAAAGTGAGAACTTCATTGGGGGGCGGAGGGAGTATTATACTAATACTAATACTAATAGGTTCCTATCATATCTCCCCCCTTAGACAACCACCTTGTCCTCAAGGTGGATGATAGGAAACAGCCTTAACTTTCCACTTCGTCTTCATCCTGGTGCCTCTTCCTTCTCAATACATCCCGGATTTCTGGACAATGATCTTCATTACTTGACCCTTCCTCACCCCTTTTGAACAAAGCTGTCCACAACCCGGTTTAACCAGATTCTCTTCAAAAAGAGGTATGCTGTCATATGGAGAACATAATGATTGTTCTCTTGCTCAGGTTTCCCGGTAGACCAGCAAATGTTCTCATCAAAATGCAACTCTCTGGGGTTTGTCAGTATGAAAAAGGAATTGAGTTCACTGCTTTTCATATCACTAACAAGTGGTACTGTAATAATATCTCCAAATGATCCACGAAGTTTAAAGTTTACTGACTCTACTTTATCAATGCCTTTCAATTTTGTAAGCCCAGATGACCAATCAAGTTTAGGTATCCCTAAAACTTCTTCAAATCCAAATTCACTCCCACCATAGACATTAGCTGAACAACGCAACAGAATAACAGGAAACCTTTTACCTCCAGATGATGGTTGTAAGTTAGCAATGCTATCACACTGATTTTCCGCCTTGTGGCATTCCAAATAGTCTGGCAGAGACAAGTTCAAACAACCTCCAAACAGCCTCATATTTTGCACTCCTGCACCCTCTGTGTTTGGCTGTAGCCTATTCTCAACAATGTGGTGAAGATTTTGAGAAATGACACGCAGAACTCTACCAAAAACCGAGTTGAAGAATTCCATAGAACCTTTAGAAGCATCAGAAGCTGGGCACCCAAGAGAAACAGGAACTGCAGTTGCGCCAATTTCAGGTCCAGCGACCACTGACAATTTCTCCTCGTTTTCATTTTCGCCTTCAGTGAACTTCTCTGCATTTTCTCCAAATTGTGAAGCACTCCTATCATCAGAGGAAGGTTGCCGCAGGTTAACAGACTCCTGCTGTGAACCTGGAGAGTCTGAGTGTGAAACAATTTGCGAAGGGGAAGAATAAGCGAGAGCACTGTACGACACGGTTTGAGATGCCCTCTGTGAACTGTTAGAAGCCTCTCACGATAACGATTGGTGAGATACGAGTAGAGACAAAAAACTGGAACTCTGAGACGCGGCTAGAGACTCAGGCGAACCCTGCAAGCTCAGAACAACTGATAGCGACGAAGTTGTGGATTGCGATCTGGGAGAATCTTCGTGAGACACAGTCTGCGCACTTAGTGACGAACTGGAATACCCAGAAGGCCTACGACTTTTAGGGCTCCTAGATCGATGTCTGCGATGATGTTATCCATACTGTTCAGCATATTTTTCATCTTGTTCAGCATAGCTTTCATCTCCGCTTTCATGTCCTTCATATGTCGTTCTATATTGTCAAAACTCTTTTCCATTCGAGGCGTCATATAGAATTCCTCCATCGCTCCCGATTGTTGTTGCTCTGGGATGATCAATGATTCCGATTCTCTGCCTCCAGGAAGCTGTGTGCTCTGATACCAATGATAGGTACACGCAAATCTGGCGATGAATGGTTGAATTTGTAAACTGAAATTGAAGAAACTGAAAAGTAACGATACAGATGAGGCAAGTTCGAGAGTGCCTCGTCTCTCCCAAGTCTCAGTCCAATCCAAGTTCTGCCTCACTCCCTTATTCCCATTCTTATAGTAATTGTATTCTAACGGGCCAGCCCATAACTAAATAATACCAGGCCTAGACCCCCTTTAACATAATAACAAACTATGTAACATTATTTTATTATTATTATTATACTAATACTAATAGGTTCCTATCATCATTTGGTAGAAATTCTAATATTAGCAATTTGTTGTGCCTGATAATTATAACAAGAAGCAGAAAAGTCCTAGATAAGTTAATTAGTTCAATAGAGGAAAACAATCCATTATCATTGATTCTTTCCAGTATAGAATGCTGCAAGGAAATATAGTTTTTTCCCCAATTTAGATCATTTGGTGTTCCTCCCAGAACACATGAACGGTATCCATGTTTTTAGCTTCTATCCTTTTTGTGTTTTGTACTCGTATTATTTTTGTTCTGCTGAAGATTTCTTAAAAATGGTTTTGTGTTTCAGGCTTGTAGTGGGTAGCTTATTGGGATTACGCAATAAGCTGTCTTCATCTGATTGTTACAAGCTTCTAAAGTTGTTGTTGACCTGCCGGAGGACTTTAAAATATCTGCTAATGGCATCATTTGAAGAGAGGAAAGAAGGTTGTCAGTCCTCCCTCAGTTGTGTGCTGTCAGATGGTCCATTTGCTTCAATCTGGCTCATGAAATCGTTGTCCACTGTGATTGGGTTTGAAAATGCGTGTTTAGAAGGTTTTGCTTCTCAGGTGAAACAGTTGATGTTTTCATTAATGGATCACACATCACATGTGTTCTGGACTCTTATTAAGGATCAGTTCAAATGTGTGATTTTCTCATTAACATATGCTGATAAGCATTGTGAAGAAAGTTCCATTTCTTCTATCGAACATCAAGGCATTGATATAGATGAATGTGAACCCCTTTCAGACCCCCCTTTCAATAAGGATGCATTTAAAAGCATTACAGTTATTGCTGAAGCTTTGAGCGAACACATAAAGACGTCATTTGACTCTATGAATGCATTGTCTAGTGAAAATAATGTAGACTCAGCAGCGCGTCAAGAGTTGAAAATGATATCAACAACAACCTCCTGCTTCCAGGGCTTTTTGTGGGGCCTTGCTTCTGCATTGAATGATATGGATTATGAAGCGCGCTGTCAATATGATGTGTTAAAAAATGAACATATGTTCAAAATTAAGTATTGCATTGACAGGTGTACATATTTCATAAATAATAGTGTACATCTGCTGGTACTTGAAGGTGATCAGTTGCCTCAATGCTTGCCAGAAACCAAAAGTCTTGCCACTGATGCAATTAAAGAAAGCAAGTCTTTGCACACAATCGGTGGCTCTATAATGAATGAAGAAAGGATTCACCATTCCAAGTCAATGGACTCGTGGCTTATTGGCACAAGGGGTGGCTCCAGTAAAATGTCTGACCAAATAAAAACAGATATTGAAGCTCTTTTGGTTAAAGTGGGCACTGAAGAAGGATGTGTAAAGAAACCTTTGCTGCAGGCTGTTTTGAGGGGAGAAAATCCTGAGGTAGCCTTTTGTCTGAGACAGCTATTCATTGCTTCTTCAGCTATTTTGAGACTAAATTTACAGATCAACTGCACTAAGTTATCTTGGAGTTTGATTCCTTCTTTAATTCAAATTTCAGAGTTTCTGCTTCTGGAATTTGCCAGTGTTAGAGAGTCACAAACATTTTCTCTTGTTTGCTTATATGGGGTTGTGAAGTTTCTTGAAGAATTAGGAAAATACTTTCCTTTGTTGAATCCTTCATTCTCAAGGAATTCATACGTCAGTCTTATAGACTTGCACTTGAGAGCAATAGGGAAATGCATATGTCTGCAGGGAAAGAGAGTTAGCCTAGCAATAGAGGAGAGAGGATCAAGTACTAAGGTGCTAGGCTTTCCTGTAGAACTTGAGCCAAATGAATCCCATTGGACTTGCAACTTGGATGAATTAAAATCTCAATTAAGTAGCTCGTTCAGAGCTTTTGTTGGAAAAGCATCTGAACTGCATTTACTATCCGTAGTTCAGGTTATTGAGAGATCAGTAGTAGGGGTGCAGGAAGGTTGCATGGTAAATTATGAAGTGTGTACTAGAAGTGCTGATGGGGGAATGGTTTCCTCAAATGTTGCTAGTGGCATTGAATGTTTAAATATGGTTCTGGAATCATCAACAGGTATCATTCATGTTTCAATCTTGTTCTGCTGATTAAATGAAATAAAAGCAATTATTTGCCTGATAACAACATTTCATATTTTCATTAGATCTAGAGTCTTTATCTTCTGCTGCAAAATTCTTTAATTGCCTTATTTGCTGATGCTTTTAATTTGATTGATTCTCATTGGGTTGGTGCTGATTGGTAACAATGCTTTAATATAGAAGGTTCTTGAAGCATTGTGCAGTTATTAGATTCACGAGTTTATAATTGAGCTTAACATATTACACTTAGGTCAAAGAATGTCAGAACAATGATATCCGATTGACAGAATAGGACAGAATTCAATAAGAAAAATAGAACAGATCAAAAGCTTTATTCAATAGGTAAACCGATCACAATTCTAGCTATTATTCTCTTATTTATAGTAATAGTCCACGCAGGGACAATACTAACTAACTACCCCGTTAGTTAACTACTACCGCCTTCTTATTCTTTCTTTGATACACTTCATTGAAATATTTAATAGGCTGCTGCACCACTTATCTATCCAGGAAGCTACTCATTTCCTTAGATCCCATCAAGCTTAGCCAGTAAATATTTTTTATACGGGTACACTCTCTAGGTATGTTTAGATCACAGAAAATGCAATGGAAATGAAAAAATTGAAAGGAGCCCTTGGGGAGTTAGTCATAAATCTGACTTTACCTTTGAAAGTACAAAGGAAAATCAAATGCGATTTATGTGTTTAAAACCTTTATATATATTTAAGTTTCTTGTTCTTTGTTGTGTAACGAAAAAATAAAAATCAACGGGGTAAACCGTTGCCCAGATAATCAACAATAAAAATACCGTTGCCCAAAGCCAAAAGGCTAAAACCAATTTTAGTCCAAGATGATCAAGAATGAACCCTGGCAAGGGGTATAAATAGCCTTCTACAAGAAACCGTAATCAAGCCCAAATTAATTAAATCCTAATTAGGCTCATACTAACTCTACTTAAGTACTCTTCTAATAATAGGCCCAAACTAAAACATAACATTAACTTAATAATAATAATAAAACTATAATGACATCCCATAACCGGCCCACGGAAGTGGGCCCAAGCCCGGTCCTGCCCCATGCTCTTCCCACTCTCTATCATTCTTTTTATGCATAAATAAATTTAAAATCTAGTTTGCACAAATATCTAAAATATCTAAATCCTTCAGTTTTCCTCCTAGTATTTTCCAGGTTCCGTATGGTTCGTCTATAATATTCATTTTTCATTTCCTTCTGAGTCGGGCCATGTCTTTGCAGTACTCCTAGTCATTGTATGAGGCTTTTGTTATCATAGATTTTTCGTGAGTGTATAAAGTTACCCATCTGATTTTGTAGGGAGAAAGCGCTTAGCTGTGGTTAAAAGGCACATCCAGAGCTTAGTTTCATGCCTTATAAATGTGGTCGTGCACTTGCAAGGCCAAAACATATTCTGTACGAGTGATGATTCTAGTAATTGTTGTTTTGCTTGTCCTGATTCTGGCTCTGTCATTCTCATGTGCGTTGAGGTTCTGATAAAGATTTGTGCCAAATATGCCTTTTTCCAGTTAGAAAAGTACCATATTGCCCAGCTTTTGCGGCTGCCTGCGGCAATATTTTTCAATTCTTTTCAGCTTCATGTTTCTGGGGCCCCACTAGCTAGTTCAAAAGAACTACCAGGAGTTTCTGACATTGGAGTGACTGAATCTCCTAGAAGAGAATGCATCAATGCCATCTATCAGCAATTCATCTTGAAGCTATATGCTGCTTGTTGTCGACTGTTGTGTACTGTTCTTAAGCACTACAAGAGGTTCTATTTATTCTCTAGCTCTTGGTTTATTTAAAAAGCAATAGCTTTCAATTGTAATAGATTTATTTTTATTCCTACTTGGAATATTCCTGCCCCCTCCATCCTCAGAAAAGTTGGTCTTTGCACTGCATGTTTAACTTTGCAGTTTGCACCCCATTTTTTGGTTTCTTTGAATATGCACCCTAGAGTGGGGGGGATTCAAATATAAAGGTAAATCATGGGATGCAAACTTAAACGAATTTGGTAAGAAGACATAGAAATTACCTGCTTTGAGGTGCATATTGAAAGAAAACAACCACTGGGTAGAGTCAAATGTTTCCCCACCCTGGCCCATATTATGCCAACATTTACGTTTGTTCTTATTATCCTATGAATCATTCTTCCACGATTCCGTCTAAGATTGTTTACTTTGACAGTGCCAGCTTTTATTCGCTGTGGTTAAATCAAGTGTTTTTGTATTTGTGCAGTGAGACTCAATGCTGCATTGCCCTCCTTTATGATTCAGTTAGTAAACTTCTTCATTGTCTGGAGATGGACAATGATTTGATTGGTAAAGCAAGAAGACATTTAATAAGGGATGTACAAGATGGAGTAAAATGTGCCACCTTTCTCAGAAGAATCTATGAGGAGGTAGGTGTGATTTTTATTGAGATAATATTATCTTCTTGAGGGATATTTATAGTCAAATTTCCCATTCTGCAGATTAGGCAACACAAGGATGTCTATCATACCAACAGCTTTCAGCTACTGTCTAACTATATATGGGTTTATTGCGGATATGGTCCTCATAAAATTGGTATAAAAAGGTTGTTAGCCCTCTCATCTTTATTTCTATCAAAACTAGATTTAAAAGCTCTTGCATTTTTATTTACAGTGGTATCTCTCATATTTGCAGGGAAATAGATGAAGCCTTGAGACCTGGTATATTCGCCCTACTTGATATTTGTTCAACAGAAGATCTTAAGTATCTTCACACTGTATTTGGAGGTATAAATCACCCTGCCTATATTCTATAGGAGTTTGCATTCTATTATTCACGCATAATATTACCAAGATCCTAAGGTCTGTTCGGAACCAGGAAAAGATGTCTACGTTGGAAAAATAAGGGAAATTTTGTAAGGAAAGAAAATTGTGTTTCTTTTTTGAATGTTCGAACCCAATAATTTGTTTTTAGATAATTCTTCAAACCCATTTTCTTTCCGTTTAGTGGGGAATTTCAACTTTGCACTACTTTTGCGGGTTGCAAACATAGACTAAAATTTTCTTCACTGGCTCTCTTGCAGAGGGTCCTTGCAGAAGTGTCCTGAAAACTTTGCTTGATGATTACAAGCTAAATTTCCAATACGAAGGGAAGGTGTGAGACCTTATTATGCATTTATGCATGCATGATCCCTCGAGCAGAAAACTCTTCAGCCATGCAGCCGAAGGCCCGAAAGCAGCATCTCTTCTGTATAGTGGGCAGATGCAGTAATGCATGGTGCTCATCTTATATATTTTTATGTATTCAATCACGAGGTTGTATTTGAATCAAAGAGGTTGTAATGTAATTTACATCACATGTCAACATCCCATTGTATTAGAGCGTGTGTGCGTAAAATCAATTTATCTTTTGCTTCGTTTGTTGTTGACTCAAGACTAAAAATTGGGTTTAGAGATGCCATATAAACTATATAAAAAATTATTATCAGAAGCAACTCTCAGTACATCATATTATGTACTTTTAGCAACCAAATACAAGCTACATCAAAGAAAACTAATAAAGGCATTTAAGGCAATGGTAACTCAAAGCCTCAAACGTTTTCACTAATCACTAGTTGCCACTTGCCATATCTACTAGTTGTTTAGTTGTCAACCAATCAATCAAATGCAAGGTTAGTCATGGACTTGGTTTGGGCCAACCGGCCCGCTATTGTGTGGGCCCGGCCCGGTGCTTCGGGTCCCAAACTGGTCTTTGACCCGGAGTCCGGACAGTAGGGTTTAGCGGGGCGGGCTCGGGCTGTAGAAAAGGTGACCCGGCCGGGCCCAGTTCGGGCCATTTTTTTTTTTGGTTTTTTCATTTTTTGGTTGCCCCCGGGTTGGGCTGGGTGTTTTGGGGGGGGGGGGGGGGTGGGGGTCAGGGGGTGAGGGGGGGGGGGGGTTAGGGGTAGTTAGGAAAGCAAAAAAAGAAAAAATATAAATAGGCCCGAGACCCGGCCCGAACCGGACCCGGTGGATACCCGGGCCAGTTCTGGGCCTACACCTTAAAACCCAAAAGCCCGCCGGGCCTAGGCCCGACCTAGCCCGGGTCCATCACTATGCAAGGTACATAAAAAGATCTTCATGTCTACTAAACAAAGTCGTACAACTAGCTAGTTGCAATTAAATGATTGGAATTAGGAAAATTTGGAAAGTATATGTTTGTGTAAATTCAAAGATGGGAATAATTTTTTAGACTACCATTAACATATTTAGTTGCCAAAATTGCTTGCAAATTTCTAAATTCTAAGCATAAGGATTTAACTTTCAATAACTTGATGACTTGAGAGATCCAAAGATGAATGGTGTTAAACCATTGAATCTATTGTGTACTTTTTATTTGGACTTCTTTTCGGACCAGATCAAATCGGATCAGATCAGATCAGACTTGGATACAAGTAAAGGAAAAGTTGAAATTATACATGAGAGATCTTAGATGTGTCAGCCTGTCAGGCGAAGTGGATTACTTGCTCCCAAAGTGAAATAAAAAATCTAATCCGAAGATTCTTTTTGTGTCAAGAAATGTTAAACCTTTAACGTGTGTAAATGTTGTAGAAGAATAAATATGGACAACATCAAAGTCTTTCTCTATTGTGAGCGGCTTAATACATGGCATTGCCTTTAGGCTTTAGCATGGAACCTACTTTGAATAATAACACATATTTAGAAAAAAAAAACAATTTATTCATACCAATCATACATCAACTATTTGATTATATAATGAAATCACCGCATCCTCTTTTCAACCACAATTCCACAAATTTAGCTACTTAGCTAATAAAAACTTTGGTATGAAACTGATGGAGTATATGGCCCAGGAACCCCCGGCCCATAGACTCCTACTTCTCCTACACAAGTCCATTGAGCTCAGGGAACAACTCGGGCCCAAAAACAACGCCCCAAGCCTCAAAGTAGCCCAGAATGCACACTGGGATGCCTTCGGCCTCCTTGGCCGAGGGCCCCAAAACTCACAGGATAGCCTTCTCTGGCATAGGAAGCTACTGGGAGAAAACGGCGAAAAACATAAGCCTTCGGCATTGCCAAGCCCTCGGCATCATAGCCTTCGGTCACATGAGGCCTTCGGCTACTAGAGGCCTTCGACTGCACGGGGGTCCTGGTCGCATGAAGCCCTCGGCTACACCAGGAGCCTTCGGCTAAACGTGCTCAATCATCAAAGATTCCTTTTGGAGACAGCCAACCACCGCATTTAATGCCACGTCACATCCGCCAACCGCATTCAATGCGGTGAACGTACCTCTGCCGGTGCCACCCGGCTGATGTGACCCTTCGGCCGTTGGATTACTGACACGTGTCCTCCCATCGCATTTATTGCTGCTATAAATAGCAGCCCACTTCTCCTTGTAATGGACATCATCTACACAATCGACATCTCGATTACACACACTGAGTTCATTTAATAAAATCGACTCTCTCTCCTCCTATTTGCTCTGACTTCTCTCTAGTTATTCCCACAATAACCCCTCGGATAAGATACCCCCCGGGTAGACTATCCATCATTTGGTGCTCTCGTTGAGAGGTCTGAACTATCAAGTAAGAAACCCTCCCCCTCTACCAAACACAAAACACTCACCAAAAATGGGAAGAACCACCCGTGCCCAGTCCAAAACCCTTGAGGAGAACCACGCAGCCCCCGGCGAAACCAATGGGGCTGAAGCCTCCAACCGGCTCTTAGTGCCGGAGGGTGGTATCATCCTCGAATTAGAGCAAGCCACCGCTGACCTACGTCAACAGCTGCAGAAGAACGCCCCTGATGCCCGCATTGGCCTTGATAATCGAAGGAGGGATCGGAGTGAGAACCAAGTTCCCCCTCCGGCCCCGGCCATCGATCTTCAGGCAGCCTTTGCGGCCTTTGTTCAAAACATGGCTCTCAACTCCGGAGCCCTCGTCTCCCAGACACCCCTTCAGCCCTACGCTGGGGGAAATGTTATTCAATTGCCACCGCTCCCTCCTCTGTTCAACAATCCTCCCCCGGGGATTGGGAACGCCGAAGGGGTCATGGCGCAGGACACCGCCTCCCAAGAGGCCCAATCCAGGGATAAACGTCCCTTGATGAAGGAGAAACCCCGGACCTCTGCACTTGAGAGGCTTGGGGGAGCTCCCATACGCCGAGGGGTCCAAGACCGCCTCGACAAACAGGAATTCAGCAGGGCTCAGGAGAGTGGGGCCTCCGCTTCGGGAGCCGAGGGAATACCTCCACCCCGGAGCAAGGGCAAAGCCCTCCTCCATGCCGATGATGCCAGGCACCAGATCAATCAGGCGCAATCCTTCCGGGCCAACTCCCAAGGGGTTGCCCCGAAGGATCCCAAGGACGAAATCATTGAAGCCCTCCTCCGTCAACTCGAGGAGAATCGCCAGACACCCCCGACGGCTTCCACAGCGAGGCCAGATCCGGAGTACGCTGACCTCCGGGCACAGGTGGAGGAAATGAAACGTAAACTTGCCGAAGGCTCAGGCGAGCCCCTCATTCAGCTCCGCACTAGGACGCCTTTCACCCCAAGGGTGTTGGCGGCCAAAATCCCCCACAAATATCGGGGGCAACCTATCAAACCGTATGAGGGGAAGACGGATCCCCAGGAGCACTATAGCCGTTATCAAAACAGCATGATGATGATGGGGGCATCGGATGAATACCTATGCCGTTGGTTCCTTTCCACCTTGGAGGGACCAGCGTATGAGTGGTTCAACCGGTTGCCCGAAGGCAGCATTGATTCTTGGCAAGAACTTGCCCACCGCTTCCTTACGCAGTTTGCCGGGAGGCACCGCTCAAAGAAACACTTCTCCCACCTTCTGAATGTGAGACAACAGAAGGAGGAAACCCTTCGGAGTTTCCTGGAACGCTGGAGGCAGGCCTCCCTCGAGGTCGAAGGCGCCGATGACAGGACCCTGATGGCCCTCTTCCACACTGTCCTCCGCAACGGTAACTTCTCCAGGAGTCTCATCACCGATCCCCCCCGCGACTATACCAAGGCCCTTCAGCGGGGGGACCGATACGCTGAAGCGGAGGAGATCGAGAAGGACCGCCGCAACACGGATCCTTCCCAGAAGAATGAGGGCAGGAATCGGCCCGGGGGGCCTCCCCCTCCGGCCAACCGAGAGCCTCATTACAATGATCGCCCCCGGGGCGGCCAAGCCAGGACCGGGGGCGGTTACAAAAACAATCCGAAGGCATGGGCGCAACCCGTCCTCCTGGAGCACCCACGCACTCCCTTGACGCACCCCGTCAGCGTCATTCTTGACCATGCGGAAGAGCGGGGGCTCGTTGAGCGGGACTCCCGCACACCCCTCGAGATTTATGCCATCGGCCCTGATGAGCCATATTGCCGCTTTCACCGCCACCACGGGCACAAGACCGACGACTGCCACCAACTGAAGAACGCCATCGAGAGGCTGATACAGGCGGGCCACTTATCTCAGTTTATCAGGGGCCCTCCTCCCCAGGGCCCCCCTCATCATCAAGGGCCTCCGCCGAAGGCAAACAAATGGGTGAACCCCAACACCATCCCCTTGGGGAACCCACAGGGGAAGAAGCGAGAAATTGGGGGCCTCGATGACGAGGGAGAGGGCTCCCATCAACAATACAAGCGCCATATTCATATGATCAACGGCGGCAACACTGGTGGAGACTCCACCAGCCAGCGGAAGAAGTGGGCTCAGTCCCTTTACGTTGGGGAAGTCAATCACATGCCCCCAACTAAGAGGCCGAGGGCGGAACCCATCTTCTTCACGGATGCGGACCTCCCCTCGGGTTCTCTGCCGCATAGGGATGCCCTCGTCATCCGCACTGAGATCAATGACGCCATCATCCACCGGACTTACGTTGACACAGGGAGTTCTGTCAACGTCATGTATCTCTGCACTTTCCAAGAGTTGGGACTCGACAGGGGGTCCCTCCGACACATCAACACCCCCCTCTCCGGATTTACGGGGGACAGCATAGACGCCGAGGGCGCCATCACCCTCGTGGTTGAGTTCGGCGACGGATCCCATAGAGCCAAGCTCGAAGTGGAATTTGTCGTCGTCAACCTCGACTGCGCACACAACATCATCCTCGGCCGGCCCGCCCTCGAGGATTTGGAAGTCGTCATCTCTATGAGGCATCTCTGCCTCAAGTTCCCCACACCCACCGGCATCGGCTACTCGAGGGGGAATCAGAAGCTCTCCAGGGCATGCTACCTTCAACTTACCAAGAAGGTTAGTAAGACTGAACTTCGTGTGGACACAATCACCACCAAAGCCTTGGAGGAAGAAGAAGGCAGGCCGAGGGCTGAGCCTGCCGAGGAAACCGAAGACTTGATACTCGATCCGGCCAAGCCGGAGAGAGTCCTGAAGATTGGAGCCAAGCTCCCCGAAGGCCTGAAGGCTGGCATCACCGAGGCCCTCCGCGCCTACTCCATT